CCAGTCACCTTCTCTCATTGGCTGAAAATACCATAGCTTCTATCACTATCTTTTTTTCACTCTGACTCCTGTCATCACTTCTGCTAATTTGAGCATCACACACACACAGACAAGTCCGACGACATCACAGCTTCATAGCCCCTCCACTCTCTGGGGTACCTTCCTCCATCCAGCAAACATACATAACTGTTGGCATCATGAAGTCAGTGTCCCATTGGCATAAGTGTCATTTTTCTTCCCAATTATAATACCCATCACTCGGGTGACTGCCATGGTTCATCTTTGTTGTCATCTCAACTGGACTTGGAATCACCTGGGAGACACACCTTTGAGTGTGTCTTTGGGGAGCTTCCAGAGAGGTTTAAGTAGGAGGGATGACTCACCATGAATGTGGGTGAGTTAATGTGGATTGGGGTCCCAGACTGAATAAAAAGGAAAAAAGAGAAAGTGAGCTGATTGTAAGAATCCCCCTCTCTGCTTCCTCCCTAAGGACATAACGTGACTAGTCACCTTATACTCTGATTGCCATGCTTCCCACCACAGTGGACCTCTGTCCTCTCATTAGCCATGAACCAAGTGAGCCTTTCTTCTTTAAATGTAAAGAACTCCCATCAGACATTTCGTCACACACAGGAGAAAAGTAATGTCAATGATCATCCAATTTCTAAACTGGGATAACTTTTTTTTGCATGAAAGAAGGCACCAAAACAATTAAAATTACACAATTTTAAAAATATTTGCTTATTGGTGACAATTTTTTATTAAGGTACCTAGAAAATTTTTGGCTTTCTATATCCATGGATTCAACCAGTCTTGGATAAGAATATTAAAAAACAAAACAAAACAAAACAAAAACATGTTAGTTGGGGTGACGGACTAGGAGGAAAGGGAAACTTCATTTGGGGTGTAATGTATGAGAGAAGAATAAAAGTTTTTTCTTTTAAACTTGTCAGCCCTGATCCTGATAGAAGAGGAAGTGGTAAACAATTTCAATCGCATTGGCACAGGAAACAACTTCCTGAACAGAATACCACTAGCACAGGCACTACGATCAACAATTAATAAATGGGACCTCATGAAGTGTCTGTAAGGCAAAGGGCACGGTCAACAGAATAAAACAACAGCCTACAGATGGGAAAAGATCTTCACCAACCCTACATCTGACTGATCTCTGAAATATATAAAGAACTCAAGAAAGTAGATGTCAACAAACCAAATAATCTAATTAAAAAATGGGTACCAATCTAAATAGAATTTTCAACAAAAGAACCTCAAATGGCCGAGAAACACTAAAGGAGATGTTCAACATCCTTAGGCATCCAGGAAATGCAAATCAAAATGACACTGAGATTCCATCTTACACCCGTCAGACAGAATGGCTAAGATCAAAAACACAAGTGACAGCTCATGCTGGAGAGGATGTGGAGTAAGGGGAACACTTCTCCACTACTGGTGGGAGTGCAAACTTGTACAACCACTTGGAAGTCAGTGTGGGTGTTCTCAGAAAATTGGGAATCAATCTACCACAAGACACAGCTATACCACTCTTAGGCATATACCCAAATGATGCTCAATCACACCACAAGGACTCTTGTGCAGCTATCTTCATAGCAGCTTTATTTGTAAAAGCCAGAGCCTGGGTACAACCTAGATGTCCCTCAACTGAAGAACGGATAAAGAAAATTGTTACATTTACACAATGGAGTATTAATTAGCTGTTAAAAACTAGGATACCAGGAAATTTGAAGGTAAATAGATGAAAGTAGAAAAAAATCATTCTGAGGGAGGTAACCAAGACCAAGAAAGACAAATATGGTCTATACTCACTCATAAGTGGATATTAACTACAATAAAGTATAACTATGCTACAGTCCACAGACTCAGAGAGACTAGGTAACAAGGAGGATTCATGGGGAGAGAGGACCCAGATCTACTCGGGAAGAGGAAACAGAAGAGATTTCAAGAGTTGACTGAGGGCAAGTGGGTATGGGAATATGAGCAGGGGTGGAGGGGGAGAGTCCTGAAAGAGACTACTTGAAAGGTGGGAAAAACCTGGCTCAAGAGAATCTCCCAGGAATTTACAATGATGACCCCAGCTAAGACTCCTAGCAATAGCAGATATATAGCCTGAACTGGTCATCTACTGTGACCAGATTGGTCCCTAACCCAGTTGTCATCAGGGAGGCATCACCCAGCAACTGATGGAAATAAATGCAGGCCCATAGTCACATAGTATTTGGACTTTGGAGAATCCTGCAGAAGGGGAGAAAAGATGGAGGAGGCAGAGAGGTTAAGGACACCACAAGAAAACTCATAGAACCAATTAACCTGGGATCATAGGGGCTCATGGAGACTGAACAACCAGGGAGCCTGTATGGGACTGACCTGTGCACTCTGCATGTATGTTACAGTTATGTAGCTTGGTCTGCTTGTGGGACTCCTAACAGTGGGAGCAGGAGCTGTCTCTGATTCTTATTGGCTTTTGGGACCCCACTCCTCATACTGGGTCACCTTGCCCAGCCTTAATACGTGGGGAGGTGCTTAGTCTTACTGCAACTTGATATGCCATGTTTTATTGATACTCATGGGAGACCTGCCTCCCTAAACAGAGAAGGAGGGTGACTTAGTTCAGGTTTCTATTGCTGTGAAGAGAAACCATGACCATGACAACTCTTATAAGGAAAGCATTTAACTGAGAGAGCTCACTTACAGTTTCAGAGGTTCATGCCATTATCATCACGACAGGGAGCTTGACAGCGAGATGCAGATGTGGTGTTGGAGGAGGAGCTGAGAGTCCCATATCTTGCAGGCACAGGAAGTCAACCAAGGGAAGCTTGAACAAGAGACCTCAGAGCCCATCCCCAAAGTGACACACTTCCTTCAACAAGGCCACACCTCCTAATAGTGCCACTCCCTTTGGGGGGCATTTTCTTTTACGCCACCACAGAGAGGGAGAGTGGATTAGGGGGGTGGGAATGCATCGGGTGGGGAGCAGGGGAGGGGCTGGGAGGAGAGGAGGAAACTGCTACTGGGATGTAAAAGAAATAACAAATAAATTTGTTTAGAAAAAAACTGTCAGCACTGAATATAAGACTTGTTCTTTTTCTCAAAATAATACAAAAATATATAGTTTAAAATTTTATGTTTTGTGTATATATACGTGCATCCACATGTGTGGGCATATGTGTGGGGTGCATGCACACGTGTGTATCTGTGTATAGAGGCCAGAGGCTGATGTGTTTCTTCCTTGACTCCACATTAATTGTTGAGATACCCAGAGCTGACTGACTCAGCTAGACTAGCTAGCCTGCCTGTTAACAGGCATCCTGTCTCCACACCCCACGTGCTGCTGGGATTAGAAACCTGTTACCATGCTCATAATGCATTTATGTTGGTGCTGGGAGTCTGAATGCTTGTATGGCAAGTGTTTTACCCACTGGGCCATCTCCTCAACCCAGGGAAATATATATTTACATCATGTTAGGTTATCTAGTTAAAATGTAAGATAATAATTAGTTATCTAGATAAAATGTAAGTATATGGGAGAGAGGATTGCAGAAATCACTCAAATGCTAATAGGTTTTATATAAAGGACCTGAGCATCTGAGGATTTGGGACTCGTGTGTGTGTGTGTGTGTGTGTGTGTGTGTGTGTGTGTGTGTGTGTGTGTGTGTGTGTGTACATTTGGAGACAATGTCCTCAGCCATGTAGGTGTACATAGAAGCCAGAGATTGACATCAGCATATGTCCCTCAGTTGCCAACTTATTTTATTAAGATGGTCTCTTCCTGAATTTGGAGCTGTTTTGGATAGATTGGCAGGCTAGTGAGCCCCTAGGATCTGCCTGTTTCTGTCCTCCATTGCTAAGAGTAGTTGCCATCCATCTATCTTCTACGTGGTTGCTGGGAAGCCAAACTCAGGTCCTCATGCTTGCACAGTTAGTATCTTACTCACTGAGCGCCTCCCAGGCCAGCCCACAATGTTTTTAATTAGTGCTGTATTGCTCATGGGTATTAAGACATCTTGCAAGCTTAGTGTTAATTCTGCTCACTGGATAATAGCCTCAATTTTTAAAATAAAAACATCTCAGACCAAAATTAACCAGACCCAACATCTGTTATGATGTTTTTATTTGCAAGATTCCTTTTTTTTTGCCTCCAACCAGAGCAATATTCAGCACATTTAAAAAAGATTTATTTATTTTTATTTTATATGTATAAGTGTTTTGCCTACATGTCTGTCTGTTCATCACATACATGCCTGGTACCCATGGAGGTCACAGAGGGCCATGGATCCATTTGAACTGGAGTTACAGATGGTTGTGAGCTGCCTTGTAGGTACTGGGAATGGGACCTTGGTCCTCTGCAAAGGCAGCCAAGTGCTCATAATGGCTGAGCTATCTCTCCATCTGACCACATATTTTCATAAAATAAAATAAAACTTAAATAGTCATCTTTATTTAGGAGTCTTCTTAATACTTTTTAAGTGCTGGGCTTAAAGTCAAGCACCCTATGCATTTCTGGCCAAGGACTCTAACACTGAGCTAAACCCTGGTCCTTTTTGTTTATATGTTTATTTTATATTTTGAGATAGGGTCTCATGAAGTTGACCAGTCGGGTCTTGAACTTGTGATTCTTCTGCCCCAGCCTCTCGAGTAGCTGGGATTGTAGGCATGTGTTCCCCTGTTCATCACTGAACATTCCTTTGCATGCATTGCGTGTGTAATTTACAGGAAGCTCAATCAAGCCCCTCCCACTTCATTTTAGTGCATACCCAGCTCTAGAACTGTTTTTTTTCCTAGAAAAAGAACAGCAGAGGACGGCCCCACCACAAACCTAGAGACTTCTCATCACATGATTAGAAAATGTCCATGTAATTCTTTTAAACATTTATTCAAGCCACTCCTACATTCTCATGACAAAAAAAAAATAAATGTATGGAAGATCACATAGTTCTAATGAGAAATAAAAACAGACTTCTCATAAAAGCTCAATTCAAGCCTGTCATGAGAGCTATCTTCCAGATATGTACAACTGTCAAAATGTGAAGTCTTCCTCACGTCCAAAAGAGTGCAGCATTTGAACCCAATCTTGAATTTGATGGGCAGCTTTTTAACAGGCAGGTTTTGAAGCATTTAAAGCACTGATGGCAAAGAATAGTAACAACAAAAGCATTTCCCCAAGCCCTACCCAAGCTCTGCCCCTTTTTATGCCCAAGGAAGAGGGACAATGCTGGCGGATAGTCCCAAGAGTCAGTCAGGCGGTCAACGGTCTGCTTCGACCTCAGTTCCGAGGTTGGGAGTTGAACTCTGTACAGATATTCTGGATGATCCTGGGGACAAATTTGTAGAGGTTGTCAAACTCATCCACAAAGAAGGAGTGGTCCCTGGCGGGGTGGGTGGCGATCACCTCCAGTTCGTCTTGAGCTGCCCACGCGATGCCTATTGCGTATGTGATCACCCCTGTGGAAACAAAATGGCATGAAGCAAATGGCCCTGAGCAAAGGGACTGACAATGAATATTTTCCTTCTGGACTCCCCAAGTCAGAAATATGCCAAAGAAAACAAATAAGAGAACCCCAGTGAGGCTCTAGTGTCTATAAATAAACTAAGTGTGACTATTCAGTCAACAAACATTTTGAATATCACTCTATACCAATAGCAACAAAAGTAATATAGCTTTTGGCCTTATTTGAGCATAGTGTCTTTTACAGACACAATGAAAAAATAAGTAACAATGAGGCCACGCTGGAGTAGAATGGGCTCCTAATTCAATACCACTGGGTCCTTAAAAAGGGAGGGAGAGGTGGAGACCGACACAGCAGTGAGTGACAATGGACAACTCAAAGGACTGAGGAAGAGTCAGAGTTGGCACTGCCCAGGGTCTCAGAGAGTGTATTCCTCCCAGTGACCGGATACTGGTCATCCAATGTGACGAATAGAGCAAGAAGAAGTGGCTGTTTTACTACATATTTGTGGTATTTTTCATTTTTTTCTATCTTATTGTCTAGGATACAAGGAGCCAGCTGTGGTTTTTAACAGCATAGCTGTTTGTTGGCCTTTGATTAAAGATGGGAAGACTTTACCCAGTAAAGACTACACAACCGCAATAGACACTGGGCTTTCTAGACCCCAGAGCCACTGTTTTGGGGAAAATGTCCATCAGCAACACAGGTGAATGGTCACCCTAAATGGACTTGCTACTCCGGGGGACGCGGTCCTTACTACATTTTCAGATTGAATCTCAGAGTTGGGCACTAAGACATGAAGTCACCCCATGTCATTAGAGCTCTTAACAAAGGTCTGGGGGCTGGACAGATGGCTCAGAGGTTAAGAGCACTGGCTGCTCTTCCAGAGGTCCTGAGTTCAATTCCCAGCAACCACATGGTGGCTCACAACCATCCCTTATGAGATCTGGTGCCCTCTTCTGGCCTGCAGGGATACATGCAGACAGAACACTGTATACATAATAAATAAAATCCTTAAACAAAACAAAACAAAAACAAACAAACAAAAAACACAAAGGTTTTTAACTCCAGTTCCAGAGCATCCAACACCCTCTTCTGCCTCCAAGGGCAGTGTATGCACATGGTGTACACACACATGCAGGCAAAAACATCCATACATATAAATTAAAAAACATCCATACATATAAATTAAAAAACATCCATACATAAAAATTTAAAAACATCCATACATCTAAATTAAAAAGTAAATAAATCTTTAGAAGTATATAGTTTCTCTGTGTAACAGTTTTGGCTGTCCTGGAAGTCACACTGTAGACCAGGCTGGCCTCGAACTCACAGGGATCCACCCACCTCTGCCTCCCCATTGCTGGGATTGCAGGTGTGTGCTACCACTGCCCAGTGTAAAAGTATATAGATTATTCTAAAAGACAACTTAAATTACACAAAGATGCAGAACAACAAAACCAAGTGTGGTAGCGAGTTCTGTACTCTCCCTTAGATTTCTAGTGATCAAGAACCATTCAGTTTCCTTTTTTTGTTCCTCTGTGTTTTGAGACAAGGTTTCACTATGCAGCCTCGACTGGCCCAGAACTTGCAATGTAGACTAGGCTGGCCTCAAACTCATGGAGATCTGTTTGCCTCTGCCTCTGGAATGCTGGGATTAAAGTTTGAGCTGCCATGTCTGGCTTTTGGTTTCCCTTTCTTATTACTTGAGGTTTTCTTCAAGCACGTTTCAGTTTCACTGCACTTTTCAGGACAAGAACTTCATGTCCAGGCATTGTACAGAAGAGGTTTAAATGCAACTGACTTTTATAAATATTTATAAAATATTTTGTTCATCTTACATGTTTTTAAAACTTTTTTGGCTTCTTAAGGCTTTAGACTTTTTGTTTTTTTATTACTGTGTGTGTGCATGCCACACCCTGAGTTTGTGGGCAGAGAACAATTTTGTGAAGTTAGTTTTCTCCTTTCACCTTCATGTAGGTTTGGGGATCGGATTCATGTTTGGATTTGCTCAGCTAGTGTTTTTACCCACTGAGCCATTGCATGATCCCTCTTAGGAAATTTGGCATGAAAATATTTAAAAATAATTTAAATAAAGAATCCTCCTAAAGGACCAAGATCTGGTTAGAAATCATTGCCAAAAAAAATAGTATTTTACATCTAGGTATGGTGACATGTGCTTATAATCCCAGTACAGGAGGATTTTGTGTTTACAGCAAGCCTGGTAAAAACCTGGAAAAAAAAATTGAGGCAAGCATGAATAGCCAGCTGCAATATTACATTTCTTTAAAAGCAGTGTTATTCTGTAAAATGTACAAACATGATTTGGAATCAGCACAGCTAGAGGTTTAAATCTTTCATCAAGCAATGATTTATGCCCATGTGGAAGGAGTTTTAGGCCATGGGGTGTAAAAGGAAGGGTTACTATTCCATTGCCTGTGGGCTCTGGGTTTTCAAGAATACTTGAGGAACTAATAAATGGACTCCTTTCAATTCTGTGTCCTCTTCTTAGAGATGCCTACACCGTTTTCTCACTACCACTCTCCCTGTGGCCGTGAACACTAAAATAAATAAATAGATCGGTTTACTTACATATATATGTGCATGTATGTGCATATATGCATGTGAAATGCCCCTAGAGATCTGAAGAAGGTGTCAAATACCCTCAAACTGGAGTTTCAGATGGTTGTGGGCCACTATGTGGTGCTGGGAACTGAAACCAGATTTCTCTGCGAGAAGAGCAAGAGCTAACCACTGAGCCATCTCTCCAGCACCCTGTGTACATTTTCTTAAGTCCTAGACAAAATAAGTACATAAAAAGGCAGTTCCTCCCCATGCACCAGTGACACTGGTCCTCACCCCTTCAAGAATTGCTTTTGTGCCCACGTTTATAGCAGGAGCGCTCACCCTTCCGGTAGGCAGCCATGGCTGGGATGCGCACGTCATCGTAGGACCTGCCGTCAGTGATAAGGATCATTACCTTCCTCTTGTTGGGTTTGGACTTCTTGAAGAGCTGTTCCAGGGCGTACTGGATGGCAGCCCCGGTGCTAGTGCCCCCACTCCAGTACCCCACCCTCCTGATAGCACTGAGGATGTCGTTTTTGCTGTTATACTTGTCGAACCCAAATTCCAGCCGCTGCTCGTAGGTGTACTGCACAGCCCCGATGCGCGTGTCGGTGTCTGAAATCTCAAACTCCTTGCTGAGGTTGGCCACGAACTGCAGAACAGTGCGGAAGTTGCTTGTCCCCACGCTGCTAGAGCCGTCAATGACAAAGCCGATGTCGGCAGAGTTTAAACAGGTCTTGCTGCAGGCTAGGCGGTCCGTGTCACAGACTCGCTTCACCAGGGGCTGCACCGTCTTGTGAAGGCTGAGCCAGCTCTGCACGTTGAAGGAGTAGAAGCCATTTGTTCTGCACACGGCCTGGAAGAGAGAAAGGAAAGATGAGGTCCAGGTCAGGGGCCAAGTCCTTAAGCCTGCCACCACTACCCTTCACCACCAGGCAGGTTTTACAGAGTCATACTTCCTGAGTGTACTTTATTCCAGTTTCCTGGCTGGGTACCACCGAGGTCAAGACCCTTGCAGTAACATCTGGGCTCGTTCCACCCAGACCCCTCAGCTGGGTCCCTGCCTTAGTGGAAAATGGTCGGAGGAGCAAATTCACAAGCAGATGTGTATCGTTGGTTTATGCCTTTGCTGGCTCCTCAACACATTTGTACAGGAAGCCAGCCATAAGTGTGGCATTTATGGGTACCAACCATCATGGGGAAGACTAAAGAAAGCTTTTGCTCTGATACACAAACAGGGATGTTTCCAGGGCAGCCCTGTACCCTGCCTGAAGGGATCCGAAGCCTCTGAGCGGACACTCGTGTTGGAGCCACTAGATGCTCCTACAGTCTCTTATTTGGCTCCCACTCTCATCCTGCAACAGCGACCCCTCATCATGAAACAAAGGGCAGGTTGTGAAGGGGCATCCTTGAGTCCCTGAGATTGGAGCATCAATTTTATCTGCTATTAAACTCTAAGCTTTGCCTGCCAGGCAACCCTGCCTCCAGGCACACATGAGTGTTTGTCTGTGCCCTAGCTTGATCCAGAAAAAAAAAAAAAAGTCAGAGGCAACAGCTAATAAAGCAAGTTGGTTAGTATGTTCTTAGAAGTGACTAGGCTTGTGTCCTGAACTCGGGTCATCCATCCTTGATCCTAGAGACCTCTGGAGGTCTGGGAGGGTCAGACTTCATGACTACAAATGGGGTTTATGAAACTTTGCACAGCTGAGGTGGATGAATGCTGGGACAAGGCTGAGGGCTGACTAGAGTTTGGACAGGAGGAATCTTACCAGACAGCCCATCTCCAGGCAGGAGACAGTGGTGGTGCTGGCTGTGGATGAGAGATGGGTTTGGCTGAGACACAGTGTATATCTGGAGGTCATAGAAGGCTTGACCTGGAAGGGAGGTTGGGGCCTTTGGAGGTAATGGTGGAGGATTTGGAGCAAGGAGCAGGGACTGGCAGGAGGTCTTAGAGTGAACTGGGGAAACTCAGACAGGCATTGCAGCACTATCTGAAACTTGGGAGGTGATTTAGGAATGGATAATGGCAGAGGGTGAGAGCCGTGATGTGGGTATGAAGGTGTAATTCTGAGATGTCACTGTCTTTGGCCAAGTGTGGGGCCACCCATGAGTATCATAGGAGCATGACCATTCTGATCTGGGAAGTGTAGACATCCTTTGTTTTATCAGGTAGATTCACTTGTACTATGTGCGTGCATGTGTGCGTGTGCGTGTGCGTGTGCGTGTGCGTGTGTGTGTGTGTGTGTGTGTGTGTGTGTGTGTGTGAAATCTATTTGGCTGTTTGGCTGGGCTGTCCCGGTGCCATGAGAGGACCAAGGGGAAGTTTTAAGTGAGACTTTGAGAACACTGCTCTTGTCCCCTGCTCTTAAGCTCTTGGTTATGCAGTGGGAATAAGTGTTGGCTTTGAGAGGACAATTCTAGGTTCCCCCATGGGAGGCCCCACTACTTACTCACGTGTTTCATGAACATTTGAAGGCTTTAGAAAACAGCTCTGAGGTCATCAGAACTTTTCAGAGTGCAGAGGTTCCTGCCCTTAGGGGTCCCTGGACAGTTATGTACCTTGCTGGAGAAGTTGGGCTCCACCACATACTGCTTCTCGCTTTCAGCAGCCCCCTCAACAGTGATGAAGAAGACATTGATCCCCGACTCCCTTGCCACTCGTGACACCTCTTCCACTTTGTCTGTGGGCCAGCCGTCCACCATGACCACAGCCACATTGGGAGCACCACCCCTGTTCCCATTGGCTTTGGAAAAGAAGTTCTTGGTTACAAAGGAGATGGCACGGCCTGAAAGAAAAGAGAAATTGTAATTGTGTTAACAACAAATGCAGGAACAGATTACAGCAGCACAAAGAGGTCTAGAAAAACATACTCATTTCCTCTTCAGTTGTTTCTCCTTCTCCTCCTTTTATTTATTTATTTATTTATTTATTTATTTATTCATTCATTTATTTATTTATTTGAGACAGGGTTTCTCTATGTAGCCTTGTCTGTCGTGGTACTCCCTCTGTAGTCCAGGTTATACTTGAACTCAAGAGACCCACCTGCTTCTGCCTCCTCAGTTCTGAGATTAAAGACATGTGCCACCACCACCTGGCTGTTTCTTCTTTTTACACATAAGAAAATCACTTTATTTATAGATGCAGGGTGCAGCAGAAATCAACTCACTCACAATGTTGTACAGTCTTTGCTCTGTTTCGTTTTTAAACCCAGAGCTTCTGTCTCTTGTTTGAAAAGAGAAAGTTTCAGGGTCTAGCAAGAAGGGGAGAAAGACTTCCATGAGGTCAAAGGGCCCCCATTCTGCCTGGGGTGAGGATAAGAGTATTAGACTCTTCTCAGGCCCCTGGACAGGCCCATGCCATGTCTGAGAACACAGGATGGGAGGGGTTAATTTGGCATGACATTATCCTCATCTAGCCTCTTACAGCCTAAGTGCTCCAGATGTTGTGTGACAAGCTGTCTTCTGTAGTTAGCGATACCTTGTCTCCAGTCCCAGTCTGAGGGCACAGGTCTGGCTGGCCATGGAAGGAATGTACCTTCTAGGAACAGAGAGGCTGGGTTCTAGCCTTAGCTATGACAACTATGGGTCCTGTAGGTCACAAGGACCCAGGGCCTAGATTTCCAGACCAACAGTCTCTTCAGCCGAGTGCCATAGTCATGAGGAATGATGGAGACTCAGGCATGCTTTTCTCATGTGTGGATTTTACACTGTACAAGTATCTCAGGACATTTTCAACTAATTCAACCCACTGTCTCGGCTTTTCAGAATTTTCCTAGTTTTATCATTGAACGCCCTTCTGGGCATACTGAGATGGCTGGCTGATTTTGAGTTAGCATGGCTGCACATAGCATGGGTCTTAACTTAGATCCTATGGATCGTGTGTGTGTGTGTGTGTGTGTGGGGTATATGTACATGTCTCCTGAAGGGTGTTTTTGTGTGTATGAAGATATAAAAGGCCACAGTTTCTAGGAGAGTCCCAAATGGCTTCTCATTTCAGTAACAGTTAAAAATCGCCTTGTTTAGCCGGGTAGTGGTGGAGCACTCCTTTAATCCCAGCACTCAGGAGGCAGAGACAGGTGGATCTCTGTGAGTCCAAGAACAGCCTGGTCTACAAGAGTGAGTTCCAGGAGAGCCTCTGAAGCCACAGAGAAACCCTGTCTCAAAAAAAAAACCCAAAAAAACCAAAAATTGCCTTGTTCAGACTTTAGAATCAACACAGTTCTGTCTATTCAGTGCTCTTCTGGGTTTGCTCAGCATCCTGGCTTTGGAGACCCCATTGTAAAGGGAAAAACATGGCTTAAAACACCCAGCAGCCCCTTCCAGCATAACAGTAAGCACCCATAGCAATGTGCATGAGTTGTAAGATGCTGCAAGATTTCTGACCCCATCCAATCTTAAATATGGAGGCCAAAGTAATCAGTGCTCACACACATTCCGTTCACCATGAAACAGGAGGCTAAAATCTGAAAGCTGCATTACTCATAGTCCTTTGTGCCTGTACTTCCAGCCTCATCTGAGTTTACTAAGTTGATGCACTTGAAGGAGCTTTAGAAGGTGAAAGCAAGGCAGGGGCTGTGACTTTGTGTCTGATATTCTTCTCACTGATGAAACTGTGGTGTATTTGACTACTCAGTGCTGTGTTTGGTTGGTGTTGAGGAGTAAGGGTGGAGCTTGCTTGCGTGTGTGTGTGTGTGTGTGTGTGTGTGTGTGTGTGGGAGAGAGAGAGAGAGAGAGAGAGGGAGAGAGAGAGAGAGAGAGAGAGAGAGAGAGAGAGAGAGAGAGAGTAGGGCACTGCGCTAGGGCTATGAACTATGTATGCAGCTCCATCATCATGGTAGCATTCTGGCTGGTGCAGGTTCATGAAAAGGCCTTATTGACAGAATTTGAAAACTGTTTTCCTAACATTGGAAGAGGTAGTGGCTCCCTTACTGTCCCTTGTGTCATTCTGAACACTCGAGCTACAGTGTGCTTCTTCAGTCCTTTCTATGCTCCTCCATGAACCAACCCCCCTCCTGCCTCAGTTGGTTACATTGACTATGCTCCCTGAATTTCTGAATGATGCAGAGGCAGGGTGAGAAGACATCACCCTCTGCAAATGTATGCCGACTGGGTCAGGACGCTTCTCAGGGGAGTGAGTGCCTTGCTAAGTTTTTCTCATTGGAATTCTGCTTATGTAAGCAATAATTTGGACACAAATGTGCAACCCCCTCTACCATGCTTATGATGCAGGTGACGTGGCTTTGCAGATTTGGACTTAGTGATTTGGCTAGTGGTTGTTTAGCATGCACTGCTGTGAAAGATTCTGCATTTGCCAGATATTAAAGTTCTGGTCACTAGAGGGACTAGAGAGAAGGGACTCGTTATTCAGAGTTTCTATGATTCCGAGGATGCTCTGTGCAAGTTATTAGTTCTGCTCGCCGCTTTACTCCATACTCTATACAGTTATGCCACCATAACTGGCATGTGAATTCCCTTGACCTGAAATGGTTGAAAGTTTCCCTAAAGCGCTAGCAGCCTCCCCGCCCCCACCCCCAGCCTTGGAGCATGGTTGGTGTAAAATCACCCCCTTGCCCAGTCTCCTCGGGGTGAACAGGTACAATGGGACTTCTGGAGCTGTCCCATTGAGAACTAGACCTTGGACTTCTAGTGCCACCTCTCCCTCCTAAGGTTCAGATGCCACCGGAAACTCATCTTTAAACACAGGACTTGCCTCTCTTGGCATAGCCGCTATTACAACAGCTTTGATAGGAACAGGACCCCGGAAGGGACCTTCTGTGTGGAACAGTGACAGACTTTCATGCTAACTGGCTGGTAGCTTCTAGGCCGACCGTGAGGTAGTCACGACAGCTGTCCTGTTAGTCTGGAGGAATGTGGCTGTGATCCAAAGAAGCAAGGAACTCTGAGGCACAGGTGTTCTGACCGTTCTTGCACCTGAATCCAGGGCAATACTTTAGGAAAGATACAGAGGCTGCATGCCATTTCTTGATGGATTATTTCTTCCTCCTCCTCCAATATAGAATATTATAAGAGAACCACACAGAAGATGCACCATGGTAACCAGGTGGAATTACCCGAATATCTGGGTCACATACCTACATTAGAAAGGCCTCCTCTCTGGGTAATTTTCTCTATAGCTGCCTTCAGATCTTGAGAATTCACGTGCGTTTTGAGGTTAAACTGGGTAGCAGGGATGTCTCTAAAGAGAACAAGAAAGAAAAGTTGGCTAGAAAGTTATTCCCTTTCCGAGGAAGGCAGAAATCATGCCTTCATGTACAAATAAAAGGGTTGCTGTGACAAAGCCTGAGGCTGTGTTCATGATGTGTTCCTCTTTATGTGGATGGTGGGGATCAAACTTCTGTACTCATGCTCTTGCAGCAAGCAGTTTACCAACTGGGCCATTTGTCTCATTCCAGAAAGTCTTGTTTTTAATCTGTTATACTTAGCATGTGTCTCCAGCACCAAAACAAACGTGGGGGGCGGGGGGGGGGGCTGGGGTCCTCTGCAGGGAATATGGGGACAGCAGGATGCTTGGGACAGGCTTAGAAGATTTGAGTTCTACTTTTGACTGTGCCATGTCATAGCTGTGTAATATTTTTGTTTCTTCTTAGAGCAGTGAGGAAAGTTCTCTTTAGTTTATCTCCTCAGTAATGAATTTCCTTTTCTTTTATTGATTTTGCTGTTTGACAACAGCTTACATGTATCTGTGTATATAATGTATTCTGACTGTCTTCCCTCCTCTAGCCCCTCTTATTTCCTTCCCATCCCTCTCACTGCCACCAACACTCCCTGTCCAGCCTTTACTGGTTCATTTCCCAGATCTATGCCTTTTGGTTTGGTTTTGAGATCCATTCGGCTTAACTGGGGCCACTGTGTGATCTTTGGGCTGGAAATGTCTATGAGCCTGGTGGGGTCATCGGAGAGTACATAACTCAAGACAATGATTTCTTCACTCCCAGAATCTATCAGTCTAGCTGTGTAATCTTGAGGAATCATTTAACTTTGGGGGGAGTTCAGCTTCTTCAGAGATAAAGGCATCATCACACGTAACACCATAATACAATTACATTGCTAACGTTTGTCCAGTGGCCTCCTCCATAGGGAGGTAACAGTGAGTTGTCAATGTCTCTGAATTGCCTAGATCCTCTGCAACAAGAGTATGGAATTGTAGCCACTCCATGGGTGATCAGAGACCTGCTGGCCATGCCCTAGCACTGAAACCAACAATCAATAGTGGCGCCAGGAAGACCACTGTTCCTGTCTCACCTTGTGACTCTTATAAGTAGGTGACATGACTGAAATCTCATGAGAAGGTCATTGCCATCTTAAGACAGCTGGAGCAGATCTGGAACAAGTTCCCCGGTGAGACAGAATCAGGGCCCTTCTCTAGAGACAGGTTCGCATGCGTGGGAGAGCAATGAGATTAGGGTTGAACTGTCAAGTTGAGGGTGTGGAGGAGTGCCTGAAGGTGAAGTTTCTTCCAGGCGTGTGTGCACCCTCAGTCATGGTGCAGGAAAGATGTGAGAGATGAACCATATCTCTGGAGGCACCGACACTCAACCAAAGGCAGAGCAGAGCCCATAGGCAGAGCCCAGCCCCAAGGCGCACATCCTATGCAGCCACAAAAGGCTACATGCTTCCAAAGAGCCCTCGCTTGGTTCAAAGATGCTGTCATCTTGAAACTCTTAGCTTTTGAACCAGGGAGCCTGAAAATTACAGCGCTAGTACAGGTTGTGGGAAGTCTTTTAAAAGCTTTTCCACAAACAACTGAGGTCCAGCACTGAGCAGCTGCTTGGGCAGTTTGAGGTAAGGACTATAAAGTTCTTGGTAGTGCACTTTTTGCTTGAGACCCCAGTGTGGTCCACAGCGAAGAAGCCATCAGAACAGACTTCAGACTGAGGACACATTCTCATTCTCGGCCTCCTTCCCATCCCTCTTCCTTCCCTATTCCCAACCTTCCTCTACATCTCAGGCTGATCTTAGCTATGCCCAGAGGGTGTGCTTATCTGAGTGGCAGGTGACAGCAGTCTGAAGGGCCTCTACCTTCAGAGCACTTCAGCAAGTGCTGTTTTCACCTCTGGCCATTGACCTCAAACCCCATACTTATTCACATAACCCCCATGTTCTCATCCCCCATGTCCCAGCAGTTCTGAGAGCCTTAACTTTTATTCCGATTCTATTATGAAATTCTGTTAGCTGCTGCAGTGCCAGTAGTAGCATCTGCTGGAGGACTCTTCCTTCAGTTCTAACTCTGCCAGTAAGACTGCTCTGTTCAAAAAATCCTCAGGGACTCCGGTTGTAAAGATGGGCTCAGCAGGTACAAGGCCCAGGGTTTGGGCCACAGCATCAAAGTTAGTTAATGCCTGCTTATCATGTGTGTTAGTTCATGCCTGGTTAGCATGTGTTAGTTCATGCCTGCTTAGTATGTGTTAGTTAATGCCTGGTTAGCATGTGTTAGACTCTGGATTCAATCCCCAGCATCAAGAATGAATGAAAGAATGAATGAATGAATGAGTGAATGAATGGATGAGTGAGTGAATGAATGAGTGAGTGAATGAAGTGCCTTGCTGTGATTTGCATATTGTTTGGAGTTCACATGTTGGGCGTTTAGTTCCAGGAGTGGAAGTGGTAAGAGGTCGTGCGTGGGGTCTTTCTGAGTGCAAGCCTGGTGAGACATGCTAAGGTCACTGGGGGAACTGCACTTGGAAGGGATTGTGGTGACCATGGGAGGAGCCTTGAGCACCTTTGAGTCATTACAAGAGTGAGGTTGAACTTTGACCTGCTCTCTGGCATGCTGACTGGCAATGTGATGTCCCACTGGCATGCACTCTTGCAGTCTTCCAAGAGATCTACCAGACCTGAGTTGATGCTGGTGCCCTACTCTTGACCCCCAGAGCTGTGAGATCTTTTCTTCGAAGATGAACTGTTTTATCATGCTAAGAAAAATGCATGATTTCATTACAACATAACCAATGAACTCTCCATCTATCTACTTCTTTATTCATTCATTTTGGGATTTCCTGTACTCTAGAGAAATACTGAGCACACTTTCACAGTTTCCTCTATTTCTGTGTCTTTTCCTTCATGCTCAGCCTTAGCTGCCTCAACCCTCTCTAATTTTTAGCACATCACATAGTGCACACCACATAGAGGTCCTCAATGAACACTTCCACGGAAACAACACTCCTTGTCCCATGTCTGAGCACCTGTACTCCGGGTCTCTCCGTCATGCACATCTTCTCAACCCATCCATAGTTGTCAGTGCACGTGGCAAGTTCCTGCTCTTGAACCCCGGGCATACATTCAATGGCTGCCACTCATCTCCACCAGAAGGTACGTCAGGTTTGGTAGTTCCCAAACTGAAGACATTTCTCCCCCTGGTCTGCTCTATTCAAACTCACTCCTCTTCTATACTCCATGACCCATGGAGCCATCTAACAGTTAGCAGTCTCTTTGCCAAATGCCTCACCCAGTCAGACCTCTCTCCTACCTGTCTCTTGACTCTTCCATCCTTTCTGTTCCCAGCTTTGGACTTTGATCTCTTTATTGAATAACTAAGGTTCTATTTGGATCTGGACAGTCTCTCAAAGGTTTGGGTGTTGAACCTGGCTCTCGTTCATGGTATTATTAGAAGGTAGTGAAAACTTGAGGTGGTGGGAGGAACTAGATCACTGGGGTATGCTTTGAAAGAAGTGTGATAAAATAAACAGTAGCTAAAAATGGGTGTGTGATGTGACTGAAAGGTCTTTGACTTTGGTCTCCCAGCACTGCAGTCCCTGAGTTGATTTTTTCCTCTGTGGTGGAGTCACATTGCTATCCATGTGCTGTGATAGCTCTCATTGTTGACTCCACAAAAGCTAGAGCAATCTGGGAAGAGACTCTCGGCGAAGGACTGTCTGGACCACCTCGGCCTATGAGCACACATGTTTGGTATTATCTTGGTTGTCTTAATAGGCGTGGGAAGGTCCAGCCTGAAAGTGGACAGCACCATTCCCTGGTTTGGAGCCCTGGGCCTTCTAAGAGTAGGGAAGGTTAACTGAGTACGAGGCATACATTCATCTATTTGCTCTCCCTGAATTTTGACCTTGACTTCTTCTCAATGTTGTGCTATAACCAGTAACTGTGAGCTAGAAGAAATCCCTTTCCTTCTAAATCACTTTTTCTCAGGGTATTTTATCACAGCAACGGAAATGAAACTAGAACAAGTGCCCTCCTACTGAGCCACACCCCAGCCTCTTTTCTGGCTTTTTATTTTGTTTTATTTTTTCGATAGCATCTCATTAGGAAGCCCTGGCTAGCCTAGAACTCTTTATGAAGACCAGGCTGGCCTTGAACTTGTAGAGATCCACCTGTATCTGCCTCCCAAGGTTTGGGATGAAAAGTGTGAACCACTTAGGGCATGTAACTAAAGCAAAGACACACACACACACACAGAGAGAGAGAGAGAGAGAGAGAGAGAGAGAGAGAGAGAGAGAGAGAACATTAAGTTAACTATAAAATGACCCCTGAGGAAGGAGTCCAGTAAGGCCAACTGCTACCTCATTCAACCTCAGCATATTCTCAGACATGATCGTGAAAGCCTACTAATGTGTTATTAAAGTGCATTTCAGTGAGTGAGCCAGTGTGCCCACAGGCAGATGCACAAATCCGGAGGCTCATCTGTGACCTGAGAGCAGGTGACCCTCCTGACTTTGGATCCCTAGTGCTTAGCACACAGGTGGGAATGAACCCACGAGGGACTGCAAGGCCTGTGTCTTCTTCCTTGGCTCCTCCTGTGTGCAGTAGAGCACTCCGCCTCAGAGCCCTCAGCAGCCTCCAGCAGCCGGCATTCCATCAAGCATCCTCATACATACATGCATCCTCAGAGGCACATAGCCCCGCTATTCATACACTGGATAAAAGGTGCTCTTCATTTTATTTAATGTCATTTCTTTAGAAATAGTGCCTCCTTAACTAGACTGTGGAGTCTTAAAGAGGAAAAACTCCATCACATATATTTATTATCTTAGTGGATTAAAAGGCTGGACCGGTGACCACTGAAACCTTTCTCAATGGCTGAATCGATGATTATGATTATGGGCAAAGGCATGGCACTCGTCCACCAAAGGTCTACCAGGAAAATGTAATCAAATCACTTAGATGAAATGTACTTGAATCATCTTTTCAATGGCACAGGGCAGACGGACTTAGTACATGGTA